CATCCTCTCCTGTGCCAATCAGCAGCGACCTAAAAAGGGACCCTAATTAAAAAAACTACCCCTTTGGACACCCCATAGAGCCACGGTTTAGGGTTTAGGGTTTAGAGTTGAAAACACAGACTTAGGCGGGTGCATAGTGTTCAAGGGTGAGGCCTCAACAGTGCGAGAATTTTTTGTTTTTCATTTTGCTGGAGTTATTAGGGGAAAGCTTAAAGAACAACTTGGGTTTAGGGGTTAGGGTTTAGGGTTCAGGGTTTAGCGGATTCAGTGTTTTTCAGTGGCAAAACTTGACACCGTGCCCCAAACCCTGAACCCCTTAAAGCCCTTGCGGATCCCTTTTCGGAACGCTTAAATAAAGTTTAGGGTTTAGTTTAGGGTTGGATCCCATCACCCCGCCTGTAAAATCGTCCCTAAAACCCCAAATCCTTCACCCTGAACTTAATCCCCAAAGCCTAAACCCTACAGCCAAAAACCCTGAAGCCTAAAGCCCTAAACACTAAACTCTAAACCCTAAACCCGACATTCGACACTGCCCCCAAAAGGGATCCCTTCAATGAACCCCTGATACTCTTTAGAATCGCTATCCCCCCCAAAAGGAGATCTGGAATATCCTACACCCAAAGCCCCAAGCCCTAAACCCCAAAAAGGAGATCTGGAAGAATCTCCTCAAGTTGGAGGCGCCAAAGGCTCAACCAAGGACGGGGTGATGAGCGTTTCGGGGGAGGTTTCGGGTTTTAGGGTTTAGGGGTTTAGGGGTTTTGAGTTTAGGGTTTAGGGGTGTATGGTTTAAGATTTTAGGCTTTAGGGAGTTTGGGTTACAGGTGCCTTTTGGGGTTTAGGGTTCCTTCAAGCATATCGTTTAAGGGTTTTCGTAGGGACTTCTGTAAGGGTTTAGGTTCCTGTAAGGGGTTGCACAGAGTCTGTAAACAGGACTTTAACATAGGGTTCTGGGGTTTAGTGTTTAGGGTTCAGGGTTAGAACCTGAAACCCTAAGCTCTAAACCCTAAACCCCAAAGTAAACCCCAAACCCGCAGCCCTCAACCGGAAGAAAACCATCTGACTCAGGGTTAGAACCCTAAACCCTAAACCCTAAACCCTAAACCCCTAAACCCTAAACCCTAAACCCCCTAACTGTGAGAGCGAGGAGCAAACACGAGCCTACCGACTTCAAGGAGGTCCTGCTGGATTTTCTGAGAGCTGACTGCTTCCTTCTCCCTTTGACGCCGGGCCCCCGGGGTTCGTTCGGGTTTAGGGTTTAGGGTTTAGGGTTTGGGGTTTAGGGTTTCGGGGATTTTGCATCTTTTTGCAGATGTTTTTGTAGGGTGTATAGAGTTAAAACACAGAAGAAATATGTAAGGATGTTAGAAGGGGTGTTGTGTGGGCTGATACGGCTTTGTGTATTTCTTTAGATTGGGTGTTTGGGAGTCTCGGCAAACTGGGGCACCCTTTCGTGGGGTCGCTGTTTTCACATAAAGCTTCCGACTTAACGTTCCCCCATCTAGGGTTGAGGGTGGAGGTGTCAGTCCTTCTTGTTAGTACCATTGCTCCGGCTGTCTTGACGGCAGGTTGTTCTTGTCATGTTTCTTATCATGATTCTGTTTCGTGGTATGGCCAAGTTCCAAGCGTGTATTGTGGTCGTTATTGTAGTATGGTCCTCAGCATGACGATGGTTGCTATCCTTTGCGTTCCTCTTATCGCCCTAATTCTTAGCAGGGAGTGGGAGAATGGATCTCTATGACAGTCCCTCGAGTTCCCTTATAGTAGTCCCTTACACCCATCCCTAAAACCTAAACCCTGAACTCCAAAATGCTTTGAGCCAAAAATCCCAAACCCTAACACCTAAACCCTAAACCCTACACTCCCAATAACCCGGGCAGTTCTTGTCGCTGGTTTCTTGGGGCTTTAAAGCTCCCTGCCCTGGCCCCGGCCGGCCCCTGCCCGCCCTGCCCTGCCCTCCTACCCTGCCCTCTCCCCTGCCCTCCCCTTCCCCTCCCCCCTGCCCTGCCCTGCCCTGCC